TAGAATAGAATAGAATAGAATAGAATAGAATAAAATAGAATAGAATAGAATGTGTTTGTCCCTCAGTGTGTGCTTTTAAAGGACCGATCAAAGGACATTCATAAAGCTGATGATTAATGAGTCTTAATTTAAACGTTGTGATTGGTTGCCAGCTAACACGTGTCTTTGTTTACCTACACAAACAGCCGAAGCAACAAAAAGTAAGTCAACAACGGTGACACCTTTGCAAAAACTGTCCATCTTACCAAGTTTTAAAACCTTATATCAGCCAAAAAGTCTTTTTGATCTTGTTTTGAGACTGATTTACTAAACAAGAACTGATTGTGTAAGAATAATCTTGTTTTCAGAATGTGTCAGATTATTTGTCTTGTTAGTCTGAAAATTTGACTCAGATTAAGTCAAAAATTTCTGCCAACGGAGTAAGAAAATTTTACTTGGTAAGATTCTTGAAATAAGAAAAATTGAGTCAAATGAACTATTTTAAGAATCTTACCAAGTAAAATTTTCTTACTTCATTGGCAGAAATTTTTGACTTAATTTGAGTCAAATTTTCAGACTAACAAGACAAATAATCTGACACATTCTGAAAACAAGATTATTCTTACACAATCAGTTCTTGTTTAGTAAATCAGTCTCAAAACAAGATCAAAAAAGACTTTTTGGCTGATATAAGATTTTAAAACTTGGTTAGGTGGACATTTTTGCAGTGTTGCATTTATCCAGAGTACTGCTTTCTGGCTCTACATGCTGTAGAACTTTTGTTGTGTGATAAAGTAATCTTGGCTCTAGAACTAAATATTAATATGTTAATGAATGAAATAAGAGGCTCTAACAGACATCTGAGCCACTTGGATAAAGGACTGGGTTGATGCAGCAAGCAAACTGGCACAAAGGATTTGGCAATCGTATTACACTGGATGCTCTTCCTGAGGCAACCTGTGCTCAAACCTGCAGCTTCAGGATTATGAGACCGCAGCACTGACCACCACGCCACCACTGCTCCGGATTAGATTTTCTTATCTGTTTTCTTTGTTTAACAAAGCAAATACTGATGCTCAGGGTTTATACTGATACTTTATACATTCTGATAAGTGACTTTGTAACAATAAACTCTGCACAGACTGGGTGTGGAGTATTAGTTTTCATTTTTTGATGATACACAACGGTCCCCCACCTCCTCATATTTGCGATCGGCCTCCTCAGCGATGTGCTTGGCCTCCTTCAGCTGCATCTCCTGGATCTCCATCTTCTCCTCATCCTTTGTTGCTCTGTTTTCTATAACCTTCATTCCTCTGAAAGACAGAACAAGACAACAACCTGGAGGTTTCAGTGCAATATATGTTGTCTGTGTGTGTGTGATTAACTGTGTTATCTGCCTTCATTATATCATATATCAGTTAGAAAAAAAAAAACCACAGAAGAACTATAAAATGAGACTAACAGAGAATTTTACATATTTTTACATTAGTCAGCAGGACTCAAAAGTATGGCCAGAAAATCAACTCACATTTTTCATACAAGACTCAAAATACAGTTTTAGAGTTTTACCAGGTCTGACGGCTCCAGCTGAGTCAGCCCAAGCTCGTAGCTGCAAACAGTTTCCACTGAACTGTTCCAGCTCATTTTAATTAAATATATCTTGTACAATTTGATAGCAGAAAGAGTAAAAATGCTTTTCACCTCTCGCTTTCATCTGCAGCTTTCTCAGCTTCCTCTAGCTTCTGCAGAGCAGTAGCGAGCCTCTCTTGAGCTCGGTCCAGCTCCTCCTCCACCAGCTGGATGCGTCTGTTTAGAGATGCTACCTCTGCCTCGGCCTGCACACACACACACATTTTTATTCAAGGGTCAAATGGTATACTGGTCTTCTACATGCTGAAAATTGTAACCCTGTCATTTTACATCCCTGTCAGGGTGATGTCTAAACCGGAGGTGCGCAAAGTGAGGCCCGCGGGCCAAAATTCGTCCTCCAAGCCATTTGATTTGGCCCACCAGAAGATGCCCTGGTTACTGGTTATCTCCTGTCATCTTATATAGAAACTCTGTATTTCCACTAAGAGTTGGGTACCACTTTACTATAAGGCTCCCCTTATAGATGGCTTATAAATAGTTTATAGATAGGTTATTGAATCATCTGTAAACACTTTATAAATCGTTAATAAATGCTTATTGTGGATTAATTAAGAACAGGAAAGAGAAAAACTGTCTTGCCAAATAGTGAGCCAAATCTCTTCGTATTACTAAGTTTGTAAGCACAATTATGTAATGGAAACACATATTTAAAAAATAATATTGTACTATATTACTGATATATACATATTAACAACTGTCAAAGGGAGCCTTATTGTAGGTACACTATTTATTAATGACTAATAAACTTGTATAAATGCCTTAAAGGAGCCTTATTTTAAAGTGTAAAACAGTACATTATTTATAAGGCTCTGTTATGACATCATTAGTCATTAATAAATAGTATGCTGTTTTACACTTTACGATAAGGCTCCCTTTGAGTACTGTGGATATGTATAAATTAATGCAGTAACACAGTACACTATTACTGTATATGTAAAATATGTGTTTTCAATAAATTATTGTGCTTTCAAGGTAGAAACCTGGTTTGAAATGTTTAATAAGCACCTTTAGATGTAATATATACATGAACAGGTTTGGCTCACTATTTGGCAAGAAACCAGACAATTTTGTCTCTTTTCCATCCTTAATTAATGAATAATAAACACTTCTTAACAATTTATAAAGTGTCTACAGATGAATTAATAACTGATCTATAAACTATTTATAAGCCATTTATATTGGGAGCCTTATTGTAAAGTGGTACCAACAGTTGTCCCAATGATGATATAAGGGGCTGTAGTGCAGGTAGTCTTCACTTATTCTTACTTTATCTTTGAATTATATTAAGATTAAACATGAAATACTGTGTAAGTAATTACAATACACAATTAGATTAGATTTAAGCACACACGTGGATTTTCACATTTTACAAGACCATAAAAACTCCTATTTGATCAATTTATAAAATGTCCCATTAGCCTTTAGTGCCTGAGTGTAATGTCAAACGTTTTTCATGGACACAGTCTAAAAAAAAAACATGGGCCACCACACTGGCTGCTTACGTAATCATAAAAAATACTTTCGACTTTACTGAAAAAAGTATTTGCATTTCATGTGTGAAATTGTTAAATTTGGCCCACAGCCCTCAGATAGATTATAATTTTAGCCCATGGGTGAGAAAGTTTGGGCACCCCTGGTCTGAGCTGATGTATTCATTTGACTGTGAGTGAACGTATGAAAGGAAAACACACATGAACAGTCTTTGTATCCATATTACAGGCCAAGCCTGCGCATTTCAGATAATATAATAAAACAATACAGAAAGTTCAGTCACTGTTTAAAGTAAGTTTGAAATGTAATCACTAAAACCAAGCAGAAATAAAATAAACAAACAGCATCCATGAAACTACTTAGTCCAGACCTAAAATAGTGGTAAAAATAAATAAAAGCTACATTTAGCCTCGGCTGCTCTTCAGCATCTGAACAAAGGTTTTTAAGAGAAAATAGCATCTGGTAACAGCAGAACTATTTTGTTCTTTGAAACAAGTTAAATTTGATCTGATTTTAGAATTTGTGCGATGCTTCTTTCGGTCCGACATGCTCGTTCACATTCTCTTTAAAGGGCCATACACACCTGAAAATTCACCACAACAGTCCTTTGTTGCATTTGGACCAAGAACTTGATGCAATTACAAACATATTTTAAATATTTTTGTTATTGCTTCTAAACCTAAATCTCTAAGAAAATATTTGGATTGATTTAAATACACAGATTACTGCGAAGTTTTCTACCCAAGGACTAATCAGAACATTAGCAATGTTTTTACTTTATTTTTTCTCTTTTTATTAATTTGTACAAAGTATGCCACTTCTTGTCTCTTCTGTAGTTCTGTGTTTCCTCGTTGTATTTCTGTCTTCTCTGTATTTTTGTTTCTCTTCTCTGTATTTCTTTGTTTCTCTTATTTCTCCTTTTTGACTCAGGTATACTGTTACTGGCACCAGCATTCCTGTTTGGTGAAATTGTAGACACTTTCCTTTATGTTACAGCTTGATCCATTATTTTAAAGGGATCTCCGATTAGTTGTAACATTCGACTTTATTTGATAAACATATATTTTAACTGTAAAATAAAGACTGTAAAAATACTGTAGTTTGTTTAGTTTTGTAATTTTTTTAA